CGCTTTAACTCTTTGACTGCCGGCTCGTCACACGACCGCTCCCTCCAGATCATGCAACACCTCTTTCATGGAAATAATCCTAATAATGACAAACATGGTCGGAATTTACGCAATATTTCATGCGAGCGGCAACATTTCAATTGGACACAATCGCCTTTTCAGCATCCTGCCAGTGTGAAATGATGTTTTTCTGTAACATTATGCACCTGCTGTTCACGGAGAAACGTACTGAATCGGCCTCAAACGGTTCGGAGTTCCAACAGATGTCGCAATAGGGCAACAAGGCGGCACATTTGTGGAAACAAAGCACAATCCTCAACACGGCAGCGTGAAGATACTTTTTAATTTCTGCAGCGGTTTCGCAACAGCTGCAGCGCTACCCTTGTCAAAAGCTTCTCAACTCACTCCAACATAATTCTTTGGCCCCAAGAAGCCGGCGAAGCACCAACCTTGTCCAAATGAAGCTCCTCAATCACGCCAAAATAGTTCTGTGCCACCAAGGTGCCTCAAGATGACCGCACGGCACTACTTTCGTCCGAACCAAGCTCCTCAACTCATTTCAACATAGTTCCTTGGCACAGGATGGTGCGAGATGGTGGAAAAAAACACTGGTTTGGTTGAAACATCCTGTCCCAAGCAATACCTTTTTTTGTTTGCTTTGGCCTGAGCACGAAAACAGCAGTTTAGTTTTATAGCAACTAACATGGGATGGCTAACCTAAAAACGCAGGGTTTCACTGTATTTTGTCCTTCTCATGTTGAGAAGGAGACACAACATGATTTTCTTTGTCCATCCATCCATCCGTTTTCGAATCCGCTTATCTTCACAAAGTTCGTGGGCGTGCTGGAGCTGATCCCAGCTTTCTTCGGGCAGTAGACGGGGGACACCCTCAACTGGTTGCCAGTCAATCCACAAACATACAAAATACACACAATCTCACCACGGGACAATTCAAATTGTTCCATTCATTTGTCATGCGTGTTTTTTGGAATGTGGGGGACGTAGATGAATTGAGAAAACCCATGCAGGCACTGGAGAACATGCAAGTCCACGCAGGAAGGCCAGAATCAGACCCTACACCTCAGGACTGTGAGGTGGACGTGCTAACCAGTTGCCCAACATGCCACCACACACACTAAAAAAGGGCCGTGGGGTGGGGGGTGGGGGGTACTTCCAAGCGTTCTGCAAGAAGTTATCCAATTTCATTGTTTTTCCATTTCATTTTCATGAAAAAAAAAAACGTTGTATTAAACACGTGCATCAGCATACGGAGGCAGCCAGGACAATTAAAAATATTGTCCACTAGATGGCAACAGCTTTGCGTTTTACCTCCACCACCTTCGTGTCATTCAATTGGGATGCATGAATGTTGCACTTGTCGGAGTTGGCTACTTCAGCTGTCATTTGCTCTTCTACATGCCTCCAAACGAACTGAAGTGGCAAATAGAACAAAATAAACTGGAGCTCTTATCACTCAGGAAGGAAACAGGATGCACTTGATGACCATTTCCGCGCCACGTTATTACGATTGGGCGCAACAGCTGTGAGGCGTTGAGTGCACTTGAAAAAGTCCACACGCTGGGTGCGACAGTGCGTTCGGAAAATTACAACCCGGACACAGAGGCGTAATATCCTAGTGATAGGCCCCGAAACAAAAAAAAAATGTTTTTGACCCCTTCCCAAAACACAAGCGCACATCATACGCGTCGCTAACTCGTCTGTTGTCAACTGCCTGCCATCTCAGACCTTCACCAATAGAGGGCGACATTACACCGTGGAACAGCAGTCACAGGCAACTGCATGCAAACATGACGAACCTCAATTTACTTCCCTTTGTCCATGTTTTCTTTTGCGCGGCCACCTCACGTCACAAATGATCAATTGCTAAAAACAATCAAGTTTATCAGTTTGAACATTAAATATCTCGTCTTTGTAGTGTAGTCAAAGAAATATAGGTGAACTTGATTTGCGTATCAGAGTCGTGTGTTTTTATGGATGTTGAACACAACGTGTACATGTCAAGCGAGTGTGAAAGCGGATTAAAACCAGTTTAATAGTTATGGCATCAAGTTTACGTGGACATTCTAAAATGCATTCATCTTTGCATCACATATGTTCAAAATGAGGATGTTAGTTGCGAATGTTCAAATTGGGATTTGTTTTTTGAAAGTTTTATTTCTTAAAAATATGCATTCTGGACTTTTTGATCGAATGGATTGAGCTTTGAAAATGCAATACGACAATGCCCTCAAAGAAGCAACGGAAACACCAATAGGCACCCCCCCACTGAAACCACTTAGTAAAGAAATGATAAGGTAACATCACAGTTGGTATTAAGCTGAATATTTATTGAATTGAAAGTAAAAAAAAAGAAAACAACACATCAATAATTTAAAGTGAAAGAGCCATGCATTGTTATTCAGTGCAAATAATGGCTTCAAAGCCACAAAAAAAAACCAGAAAGACAACTTTTTAAAAACACACAATAGGAGAATACTACAGATGGCAAAACAATCAAATACTGTTAAAAGTCTGCACCTGTCAGACATTTGAGATATAAATTATTCAAACCAGAATTGGACCCAGTGGCCTTGAGCGAATTGGCCTCCAATGCTGGCCATTATTCTCTCGTAATATCACATCTGATCACATCAAGTGCTGCGCTCTTTTACATGCGTTTAAGGGCCAATATTGTGTCACACCAGCGACGGCCGGCCAACGAATAACCCGGGAAGTCATCAGGCAGCGCCCGTAAGCAACTGATTTCCGCTCCCCCCGATTCCAAGCGCGCTGCCATCCCATCCTGAGCGAGTGCGCGCACGCGCTTCAAGAGTCGGAGCACGGCAGCAGGTCGTATTTGACGTAGCCCACGCGGTCCACCTGCTTGCTGGGCGTCATGCGCCAGTAGAAGCGATCCCAGGAGAAGTAGGTGTAGCCTGAAGCGGAATACAATTCAAAAGAATTTGGATTGGTTTCGATTCAAGGAGGAGACACTGAGAAAAATGAGTGTTGAATTTACTCCATTTTATTTTGTCAAGAGGGGTTGCACAAAATAATTTGGATCTTGATGCATTTTTAAGTCAAGGTACAGTCCACTTTAAAAGATGATTCTATTTTGTGCAACATTTCCTCCTCTCGGGAGCACTTCCTCACTGACCTAACAGCGTTAGTAGTGAGTAGCGTTTTGCAACATTGACCCCTGGTCGCCAATCAACGCTTTAAGGCGGGAGCGGCATTTACCGTTCAACTGGAAGACATCGTGAGGCTCGCTGGGCACGCCTCCGAAGGCAGTGTGGATGTATCGTGGGTAGCCCCTTTCAACCGTCTGCGTCTTCATATCGAGCCTGTATTGACACGCGGCCGCAAAAATCGGCGTGGGCATTC